TCATATACCCGGGCATACCGTAGCACGACCTCTCTAGAGAGGTTTTTGCTGCGGTGGCTACACAGGAAAGCACTTGCCTCACGGCCCTTAGACGCAATGGTATGAACGAGTGAGGCACTTGTGCTAATGCCATACATATCCACCATCGTCTTATTATCACCAACTTTTGTCATCATTCACACCACACACATCTTTCACGGCATGGTCATCATTTTATTACTTGTATGTTCTTACCCGCCTTATCGCGAGGAATTTTATGGCCCTTATACAGCCGCTTATCACAATCATTGTCCATATTTTTAGTAAGATGAAATGGCGCATTTTGGCCAACAAATGGCCCTTGCGCCAAAAAACACCATATATCATCATCATCATCCTGGGGCTTCTTATGCAAGTACTTTTGGTCGTGCACAGGTCATATCTTTTTTTTTTTCGACTTTAGCCAAGTTAAGCTGAGCTAAGTCTTCGAAAACGAAATGACGCCTTTACAAGGGATTGACAATTTACACATAGTAGTTTACGTGCAGCCGTAGTTAGACGGTTTTGATACGTCATCGCTTGAAAACCTGAGTGAGTTGGGGGAACGAATTTTGGCTCACATGTGATGTTACGTTTGGCGCGGCAGTTCGTCTCAGCAGATGCCATTGTGCGCAAGCCGGTCTGCTAGAATGCTTTCAACCCCATCGGCACCCGGTCAAAAGCACCAAGCGCGACGCTGCCCTGCAGGTGGGCCAGGCAGTTCGCTGTGGTCGGGTTACGAGGAACTCGACGGAACCATTGCAAACAACCCTTTTGTTGAATGGGTTCGGACAGCATGAGACGGCACCACTGTGGCACTTCTCATGGAGCCAACCTCTCGACTCGGCTATTGTTGCCTACGCGAGGTCGTTGCAAAGCTCCAACAGTTCGGAAGCGTGGGAAGGCGTCGAAGTAGCCGTTCTCAGGGATCGAGCATTTGGACTGCCATGTTCAAGAGAGTTCTGAAAGCCTGTAGCTGAAAGCAGCCATGGACCGCTGCTGATGTTCGTGTCAGCCGCCATCTCTACGAAGGAGCTCAACTTTCCCTCTCCGGACTCTACCCCTTGCCCTGCAATGCCTTCAAGGCGTGGGCCGGGTGCGTCTTTGTATGGTGGGCTCGCGATAATCATTGGACATTCTCACCCACATTCTTCTCCTCGAGTGGCCCAATGTCTGCACTCTTTCGGGCGGGTGGACCACTGAGACATCACGCCACCTGATTCGTGGCAACACTGGTCACCGCCTTCTTCGCATCTCTGTGAAGGGAGATGATAGGCTATAAAAGCCGCAGCAATGTGTAAATAATTGCTGAATCTCTGCTGAATTACTGTACAGTTCCATATTTCTCATCATGTAAATAAACCTTCGTTCTATCTCCAAGAACGCGTCTCCTCACTGGTGAGGATCGGCTATGGGGACGACGGCGGGGAGCCAGCTACCTTAAAGAAACCTGCCGTACCTACCATCGACCTCATACCCTGTTACAGTGAGCGCAAAATTCAGACCCCTGTCAAGTAGCGCCAGAGCGAGATGGTTTGATGGACGACAACGGTAGCGACGAATCCAATGGACTGTCACCATCACCACCACCAGCTGCTAGCACACAAGAAGTAATTCTTCACAGAGCTGTAGGTCAGCAGCATTTCGCGTGCCGCAGCGATCGCATTCCCAAGCTTGCGTGCTTCTTCCAATGCGCCAGACCCGATGGTAATCAAGCTACTCTGGAAACGCCATGCGGCCGCACGCATGCGCAACTGCACCGTTTCCCTGCCGAGGCCACGAAAGCAGCGCCACTTTTTGGGCTGTATTTCTTTTACCTTGTAAGGCACATAGAAACAAACGAAAATGAACATATTCGAAGTTTAAGCCCTTATTCCGGTGCGCTTTAAGTAATCACAGCAAGCTTATTGGGACTTCATATTTGTGGTTCATGGCTCTTGCTCTAGGGGCGTGTCGTGCTGGTTTTGGTTACTTTTGGACGCGATTTAAAAATATAAATCCTACTAAGGATCTCGAAAAGTATACTATCACTGTCGCCATAATTCATACTCTTTTCCTTTCCACCGAAATCTAATCACCCGTTCTGGCCAGTTGTGGGTCCCTTTAAGTTTTGTTTTATCTGTTTGCTGGTTAATTTGACTAACTTTAATTTCACTTTAGTTCTTACCTATATTTTTTAGTCTTAAAATGTAATTTGCTTCATTTTGTACACTTATTGGATGTGTTGCTCTGATAGCGAATTCTACTTCAATGTGGTCATGTTAACTTATCACGCAAGAAAAAGAAAACTTTCTGAAAATCTTGGGTTTCCATATAACATGTTCATGTTCAGTAAATTTAGCTTGTCCATTATCTGGTATAGTCAAAGCTGCAGTGTACTTAAAGGTGGTAGTGTGCTATATGCCCTATGCTCCCCATGAGGCGCTCTGAAGCCGCTAATGTCGCCAGTACAGGGAGCCGCTGGGGCTGTACTGCAGTTTCGTCCTAAAACCTCGCGCGGCCACTTCTTCTGCCACTGCCGCTCCCTTGCTGCGTGCGTGTTAAACAAGGCTGCCACTCGACTGCTTTTTGTTGTTATCGAGAGGTCTCACGGTTTGCATCAACAACCGCCACAATACTATTAGTTTTCCACTGACGTGCTCATGCTGACCTATGTTAAGCAATTCTGCCTCCTGAGGGGCACAATTACTGTTTTACATTGCGATGCCGGACTGCTTAGAGTCGTGTGAAGAGCATGCTGAAAGTGTCCCTTTTCAACGCCTCTCAAGATAAAGGAGAAGACACAGTGGAAGAGGAATGGCATTTTGGGCCGCACTTTGCCATCAGAGGCTACACTCATACCGATGACGGCGAAAAGGAATGCATTCCTCGTGGAAGGTCGACGCTGCCGGAAGGCGCTGTTCCAATGATCCAAACACCTAAATTTGTAATATTTTTGGATTCTAAACAGTTCTTAAAGTATTATTCTGGTTGATGGATGTGTGTGTGTGTAATGTTTAAGCTAATTTTGTCCTTAATAAGTTGCACATAGTAAATGTTACACTTGACAATAAAGTTATGTTTACGTAAGGCAATGCATATGCCCACAAGGAAACTGTGCTGTAATGTAACTATATTGATTTAAACAGGTAGCTAGAGTTGCGCTTGTACCCCGCCACGGTGGTCTAGTGGCTAAGGTACTGGGCTGCTGACCCGCAGGTCGCGGGATCAAATCCCGGCTTTGGCGGCTGCATTTCCGATGGAGGCGGAAATGTTGTAGGACCGTGTACTCAGATTTGGGTGCACGTTAAAGAACCCCAGGTGGTCAAAAGTTCCGGAGCCCTCCACTAAGGCGTCTCTCATAATCATATGGTGGTTTTGGGACGTTAAACCCCACAAATCAATCAATCAGAGTTGCGCTTGTTTGAAATTTTAAGATATTAATTTTCGACTAATCAAACAGATGTTGCAGATGCCTTTTCACACTGTTCTCCGCAACTTCGCGGGCGAATTCTGTTGATCTTTGGCCTGCGATCACCACCAAACCGTGGCAGGCATTGAGTGTGCATTTAAGGCACAACATACAATATTAGAAAATTCCTGATAGAGCTATGCATAGACATGGGCTAAAATCGTGCTCCTCCGAATTATATCCTTATTACTTTGGCGACGAGCAATCACTGAATCGCGGCTTTCGGGAAGGCAGCTGACATCTCTCGATCCAGTGCTGATATCGTAGCGGCAAAGTGTTTCTATTGGTTTTCTTTGAAAAATGCAAATGCGTATGGACACAGTTCCTATCGCGTGGATAGTAAGAACTGCTTCAATATAACAGTCCGCTAAAATAACCCGCAACGCCTGCTTAGCGTAGGCTTGAAACTAGTAAAAACACATTGCCTTTCAAGGGGAAATGCTTGTGGAGGCAACTTAAAGGAAACGTGAGGTGTCTCAGGCGGCGCCGCATGCATTCGAGTCCACTACCTACCGTTATTTCAGTACACTGTAGTCAAAGTATATATATATAAGGGAAAGAAGTGTATACCTAAGGGCTCGTGTTTTGACACAATATTAATGAGATCTAACAGACAATAATGCCAAGGAATGTATAGGGGAAGTTATTAGAACCAATGTAATGTAAATAAGAAAAAAAAAGTGGATGAAAAATAACTTGCCATGAGCAGGAATCGAACCTTACGACTTTCAAATAACGCGTTCGATGCTCTACCACTGAGATATCATGGTGGCTGCCCCCCCCCCCCCCCCCCCCAGCCACTTTATTGGGTTTATATGTGAATTTAAATGTGGGAGTGTCTTGCACAGTTAACTACCTGCATATGATGAATGCATAGCTTCATGTAAACTACAGTTTTTCTGCTCCAAAAGCTGTTCCAAAAACCAAAACCAGGTTTTTCCATGAATATGTTACTCCAGCATGCTTGGAAGAGAGTGTACATTTGTTTGCTTTTGTTATATTGTATAAAAAGTGTGTATTATTGTAACGAAGTCAACTTAATGGCAGTAGCCACTTGAAATATAAATTTTTTTTTTTCTTCTCTGGTACTCCTAAGGAGCTACTATAGCTTTGAATTTTTGTGTGCTGCAGCGTTTGTCACAAGCTTTCATTCTCAAATACACTCAAACCTCATTATAATGAAGTTGCGTCATGCATAAAATGAAGTTTGTTATATAAACATATCTATTGTATTCAAACAGATATCTATTGTATTCAAACAGATATCTATTGCAAGACCAGGTTTCATATACTTTAATATTACCAATATATTGTTACATCTGGGTTTGTGGTATATATGTTATATCCAGGGTTGTTATATCAAGGTTTGAATGTACTCTAGTAGTTTTCTGGAGCATTTGCCCATTGTAATCAGTGCATTTTTACTGTGAAAAGTATGTAATTTTCCAGTGGGAAAATATGCCTTAATTTCTTCCTTTATTTGTGAAGCTCACAGCAAAATTTAAGTTTGTTTTGCATTTGTTAATTTCAGCATCATCGAGGTGAAGGCCAAATCTTTTGCCGATCGGGAAATTCGGTACACCCTGCGAGCCCAGGGCAAGGGAGCTGGTACCTTCAACATCGGACCTACCAGTGGAGTGGTGAAGTTGGCCAAAGAGCTTGACTATGAAGACCTCAGGCAGCCAAAGTCTTACTCCCTGATTGTGACCGCAACTGAAGACTCTGGAGGATTCTCAACATCAGTTGAAGTGAGCAATTATTGAAATTACCAGGTTTACTTTTTATTGTACTCAACACGCATGTATCAGGTATTGCACAGTGTAGGGTGAATTGAACAATAGGGCAGTATTAGTCACTGAATTGAATCCTGATCACAGATGCTGCGTATCAATGAAGGTGAAATGCTAGAGGTCCATGTGTTTAGATTTAGATGCTCATTAAAGAACCCCAGGTGGTGGAAATTTCTGAAGCCCTCCACTACTCTGCATGGTCATGTTGCTGTTTTGGGATGCAAAATTATTATTTTGTTGTACAGATTCAGTTTGGTCCCGGCAAATTCTCTATAGAGATAATTAAAAACCTTGGTCATTTGAGGCAGTTTTACACAGAACCCGTATCTTGCGACAACTTTCCTATTCTGTCCGAAACGGAAAATCACCTTTACTTACATCAAGCGTTGACCAAATACTCACGCATACAAAATATGAACTTGTGTGCCCCAAAGTTCATGATTAGAAAAATAGACATGGGATGTCTTGCTAGAATGGAAAATTTATTCTTCTGGCAGTTCATGCACTTCTGCATATGCATCGATCGCGTGCGTACGCAAGGTCGTTACCGAGAGAAGCTCCGCCCAGAGTAGTTATCGGCTGGCTGAAAAGCTCGTTTCAGAGATTTTGGTATTTTCGTGTTTTCTGTCTGTGGAAGGCTTTCCTGGTCGACGCACAGCTGATCTCTTGCCTTGGTTTGTGGCACTCACTGTCATAAGCTTGAGCATGCAAAAGGGTACCATGCAGCTATATTAACAATGCCAAACAACTTGCACTTGACGTCAATGTTCATTATAACAGTGGGGGATAACTGAAGTGCAACAAAATACGTGTGCAGCTAAGTCGAGCAAAAAGGCATTCTATGCAATCTCGTAAACTCGCGGTTCGTCGCCATTATGTGATGGCAATGACACTGTGTCTAACTCTTCTGACAAAAGGCTGTTGGCAACGCAGTTCCGGTTTCATTTTCACTCGCAGGCAATTTTTGGACTTAATTTAACGATTTAATGATGCTCGTCAAATTCAATTGTTTGAAGTTGAGAATAAAGATTTGCTTGCTTCTGCTTCAACTAAGCAATGCTGCCATCTACCTTCCTTGAAGAAGCACAAGGTCGTGTCAGGTGCTTATTCAGGCGGTTTGTACCAGTCTTTTGGGCAAGGCTTAATGTCACTGTCTGTATTCTTACTTTTCGATTATACGATGGTTTTGCATGGTCCCCTGAATTCGTATAATTGGGGTTTCACTGTATTTACTATTTTATCTAGATCATTAAAAAACTAGATCTGCCCCACTCCCCCCCACCTATACACCCAGCTGTGTGTACCTTGTAGCATCAGTTGTTGCCCTTACTGGCCTACCTCTTTCTTGAAAAAGTTTGCCTGTGTGAAGCACTTTGCCCGAGGCCACATGGCATTACCGACACATTTTCAGTAGTATTGACTAGGTGATGGGATGAAGGGCATGTTAGAGCTGTGAGAACAACGGAACTGGGCCATGCAGCCTTCCGTAATGGGTTTATTTTAACAGGATACCTTCAAATGTTATTGTGTTTGGTACAGAGTAAACTTAAGTAGAATGATACTGTAGTTTTTAAATTCTTATGTTAAGAGCTAAGAAGCCAAGTTGCAAGTTTATTTTGCATTCTCCCTTCTTTTTATAGCAAAAAAAGTAAAAAATTGCAAGGGCAAGCAACAAAAAGCTGCACAGCAGCAGCCTGATGGGGTTCTTGCTCCCTTCGTTTGACAACAAAAGTACAGCATAAAATTGCAAGGGCAAGGAATAAAAAGCTGCACAGCAGCAGCCTGATGGGGCTCTTGCTCCCTTTGTTTGACAACAAAAGTACAGCATGTATATAAAAAAAATTACAATACACATTCTACACACTTCTATATTCACATATATACATCTGTACATATTGCAGTCTATATATGTACTCGTTCATATCTGCATTTATTCACATACAACATTTGAACATATTTATATATTCGAACAATTGTATGTATTTAGAAACATAATACAAAAACTATAGTTATGTATATGCACAGAAGTTTATTGATAGAAAAATATAATGACCACATACATAAGTTGTGCTTAGTGATAATAAGGTTTTATTAAGAAATATTGTTCACCTGAGAAAAAAAACTAAGAAAAAAATAAACAAAGTAAGGAGTACAAAAGCGAGAGCAAAAAAAAAAAAACATGGAAAAGATACATGACTTTACAACAGCACACCTGATTCATAAAAGTGTACCATCATTTATTAAATTAGATTTCAGTGTTCTTTTTTTATATAATAGTGTTCAACTCGGTATTGCAAGCATACAGCACACTTAATAATTTAGGCATTTGACGGTACTACAATCAGTTAAAGCTGTAATTAGTTCTTATGTGTATAGTACAAAGTTGTAGTTTCATTTCAGATTGTATGGAAATAAAAGTTGTGGCTATAATGCTTCAAGCAGACGTATATGCTGCAGGCCTTTGTGCTTATTTCCAGTGGCATTTAATGACTGAATACTTTGGGCTGTTCTCTTCACTGCTAGATTACATTATATTGAGTGTGTCATAGTGACACCTTTATCAAGTGTTGTGCTCTCAGAAGTATTTATGATGGCAGTGATAACATTAATCTGGAGACTCATTGCAGCTGTCGCTATTTGCTGTCTGGGTATGGAAATTGTTTCAGTGCCTGCATGTGAAGGGTTAGATGACCATAGGCACACAGCACATTTTGTTGCAATAATTATAAAGCCAAGTGGATGTAGCTTCATGCCTTGCTTATTCAGTTTGCTGGAGTTGGGGCTGTATTCTTGTTTCTGCTACTAGCATGGGTGTTGTGTATGCATTCATGTTTAGCAGCTGTGTACACGGCATGCAACACTTGTTTGGGCAGTATTGACAATAAATGTGAAGCTTAATCGATCTTGGCACTGACAGATACCGATGGTCTTGGTTCATTGAGGTCTGGCGCTTCCAGCGCCACTGGTAGCACTTTCTATCGATCCAGTACAGTAGGATCTCCGAAAAAATGTGGATAATAAATGTACGATCCAAGAAAGCGTACGATCCGAATCATACGATCTGAATCATACGATCTGAATCAAGATACTTTTAATTTTCACGAGTACAAGTGTAAGAGCCTGGAAATCAAATAAAGCGGGAACTGATCATGTAGGTTCTACCAAGAGCCCTTCGGTAATGTAATGCTAAACTTTGCTATCACTTTTAAGTAGTTTGCCTTCAGGTGAAGCTGCATGAATACTGTTTAAAATATTTGGGACATGTTTTCAGACCTGTTGATGCGACATGCTTCCCTTTTTTTCTATTTCAGCTAACTATCAAAGTTACTGATGTTAATGACAACGCTCCACGATTTGAACTGCCCGATTACCAAGCCCACAATGTTGATGAAGACATAGCAGTAGGAACATCGATACTTCAAGGTGAGGATCTCGCTAAATTATTGTTATTAACAATAAATATATGACTAAAAAAGTTATGTAGCTATAAAATAAATGGCACTGTGTTGCACAGCTGTTTCATAATGAATTGTGATAACCAGTGTAGGGAAGGAACTGTAGTGCAAAGCTGAAATTCTTGACCACATGCACATTAGAGTGCTACTGTTCAGTGGCTACTCAGTCTTTTCATGTTGGTGGCGGCATAGCCACGTGAATTATTTATTTGCGCTAGGGAGGGGGAAGAGAGCCAATCTAGAGAGCAGTGTTGGATAAAAGTGAGCAAGCACAAAGTGCTGTAGAGGATCAATGACAGTGATAGAGAAGAGAGTGAGATGAGAAACATGGAGGAGGGTAGTAGTGATTGATGAAATGCAACACAGCGTGAACACGTGCCTGGCTGCTGTGGCTAAGAGGTGGCACCTGAGTAGCGCACCGCCGCCTTCTCGCTGATGACGTCTGTGCCAGCCAAGCTGCTCACACCGCTCTCTCGACAAAGACTCGTGCAATGGGTGGAAATGATTTGTCTGCTGCTGCTGCTGCAAAACGAGCTGCCTGCACAGTGGTTTAGTGGTGCTAGGAGCCAGAGGTTCGCACTGCATAAGCAATACCTAAGCATTGCAATCAAGAGGACCCTGCCTTTTGTGTCGCTGAATCAGAAAGTCATCACCACAACCAAGACATACATGCATGTTTCTCTCAAATTTTTTTTTTGCGTCATATATTGCAAAATAAAAAAACCTAAGCAGCTGGACTTAAGTCGCATTACGAAGTATTGTAATCACTGCTTTTTTCAGAGAATTCGCAGCTCACAAAGAAATACCCAGTTCTGCATTCTCAAAATACTGACACATGAAGCCCAACGAATGTTAAATGATTTCCTCAATGCCTTGCTCTAGCTCTTTTAATCATCTCATTAATAGTAAATTACATGTTGCAGGCTTACATGCTCAGAACTAAGTGGCATGTTGAAAATTCTGTGGAAGCTTAAGAAAAAAGTGCAGCATAAGAAAGACTGCATAACCATGTAGACCATATACAAGATTTTGGCTTGCTTCAAACAAGTCATGCCATGAACCCAGGAGGTGAAGTAAAAATAAGCTGTGTACAGGATGAATGTGTCATGCTGAGTTTCTGACTTTGTGCAGCACATACTCTGCCCTCCTTGTATTTTGTGTTATGCTAAGCACAAATGTTTTCTTGTTCGAGAATTTGGTGTTATTCATGCAGATTGTTAAAATTTTTGTAAATTTATTACATCAGCTTTTAGACATTTTAAGTATTGCTAGGGATTGAATGGAACCCTTATACATGCTCTGTTTCTCCCGTTATGACCCCAGAAAAGTTGTTCAAACTCTAAGTCGTATAAAACTCCGCAATGTGTAACATTGCAAGAACACCATTGTATTTGATGGTGTGTTAGTGTACATTGCCCAGTCTAGTGATATCAGGTGCCTTCATTTAATGGTTATTGAGGGTTTTCTTTTTTTACTTGCGAGTGTTACACAATGCCCAACAGATAGAAGTATTCAATGTAATTTTCACTGAAGTACAGTGTACAAAGGTTATTTTCTGATACGTTTTCTACATCTTGGTCACAATCTTCAAGTTTGTACTAAATAAAGATCATGTGTAATGGCAAACATGCTTGTTCTTGCAGTGTCAGCAACGGATATGGATACAGGCCGTAATGCTGAGCTCACATACTCTCTTGATAAAGAAGATTTCACCATTGACAGCAGGGGTGTAGTGTACTCCAACCGGCGTCTCGACGCTGATGTAAACAACACGTATGTGCTGACTGTGCGTGCCACGGACAGAGGGGAGCCTCCCTTGACAGGCACTGCCACAATACGTATCTACACTGAAAACAAGAACGATGAGGCACCGAAGTTCAGCCAGGATGTCTACACACCAAATGTAGATGAAAATGCTGGACCCAGCACTCTTGTAACTACTGTAGTGGCCAGTGACAAGGATGGCGATAACATCCTCTTCGGATTTGTCAACAGTGGCACTACGTCTGGCATGTTCCAGATTGAGGAGAGAACAGGTAAGTGGCTGCGTAGATGAAGTGAAATGGTCTAATTTGTAAACTTCTAGCTGTGTAAATATCAGTGGTGGGAAACCTGCGGCAATTGCGCCAAGCTGTGCCATCTGGAAATTACTGGGCCATATTGCTCCAGAAAGGTTTTTTTTTGTCTTTTGCGCCATTGCTGCGCCACTAGGTGGTTTTGGAATTGAAAAAGCAATGCTTACAACACGCATCGTGAGCGGATAAAGGGATGTTCGCCTTTATCCGAAGGGATTTTATAAAGGGATGTTCGCCTTTATCCACTAGGATGTTCGAAGGATGTTCGAAGGGATTTCAGTGCAACAAGAACTAAGGAAGAACTCAAATGGGATACCCTGGTAGAACGACGCAGAAAGCTGCGCCTGAAGCTTTTTCATTCCATTTACTATGGTACGATTAACATACAGAGAGACATATATATAATACCGCCTAACTATAGGTCCCAACGCGTGGACCATGACCGAAAAGTAAGAGAGGTTCTATGCCGCACGGAACTTTTTAAGAAATCTTTCTTTCCAAAAACAATCCACGACTGGAATAGGTTACCTGCTGACATCGTCAACGTAGTTTCGAATGAGATGTTTTTGCCCTGCTGAAATGATTGTTTCTTTGATCTTTTTAGGACGTACTGTATGTATTACTGTTCTTATCTTTTGTTCTTCTTTCTTTTGTCCTCACACTGTATGCAGAAGGGAACTGTGGCTATACTCCGGTATCAAATCACTTATTTTCCTGTTGAAGTGACTCAACCTTGTAGTGTTCTTGTTTCTCACATATACTGCATACTGCTGTGAATAACTTATGTTGTCGATCTGCTGTAGCTGTTGTTGTTGCTATTACCGTTTTCCACGCTTTATATATGACAAAATATTGAACTGTCCAGACTGACTGTAAACCCCTCCCCCACTGTAATGCCTCTGGCGCTGTGGGTACTAAATAAATAATAATAATAATAAATAATCTTGTGCATTTGCGTTGCTGCATTTGCGACAGTTGCACTCCTGCAAAAAGCATGCAATCAGCCGATCAATTTTTCGGACTTTTGTAAGAATGTGCCGGTGCGTTTCCTGGTAACCATTGGCAAAGAACGAAGGCGATGTGCCGACAACCAAAAAACCCACCAGTGTGACTTCGTCGACAAAAAGCCTACTTACGTGTGTGGTGTAGCGCCACTTTATGCCTACTGCAGACTTTTAATAGCCGGCAGTAAACCTCGGAGTGCTGAGCCGCTGATCGCTGCCGCCTCAATCATTCTGCGAGACCGTGTTGAGCATGAATCCTTTGCAGAAATGAAAGCAGCTTGATGTTGCGGAGTTCAGCGGTTTGAATCGCGGGAACCGAGACAGCAAGCGTAGCACACTCTTTCATGAGGGGACAGCCCAAACGCGCCTCCATCTGCTGCCTGACCGCTAGAACACCGCTTGTAGAAAGCTCGCTTCGTTGCATTAACGCAACAGACTTCTCGCCACATCTGTGTGGCGATAAGTCTGAAGCTGAGTGGGTGCAAGGAGCTCGGCACGGTGTGTACGCCAAGTAGGCGAAGCGCTGCACGCAACTAGCCAGTAGATGATTGGCTCCCTGTGACTGCACCGCGTCTAAAAAAAATTGTCAAGTAGCGTCTAAAATTGTCACCGCGTCTAAAAAATTTTCGCTAAGTAGCAGATCGCGTTACATATTTATCGCGGACAGCCAATTATGTCTGTTGCATCACTGTGTCAGTTGCTGTGTTGGCTGCGTATGCGAGACTCTGCTATAGTTTCGAAATGCTCTTTCGTGTCGCCACCGCGTGCCATCGAACGGTCGTGTGGGAATGCCAATAATTTCTGAACATTCACAGAACGAGAGGAATGGCTTTGTCGTGGGCACTTAAGACAATATTCGCTGTGGCACCGTATTTATTCCTTCTTTAGTGGTGATGGCGCACGTAAAGAAATGCAAATAGGTACTATAGGCATGCGCACGGCACGGGGAGGGGGGGGGGGTGTAGTCAAGTGGGGCGCAAAGCAAGGACATTGACATAATAAAGATGGGGGCGAGAGGGGGGCTCAAAGCTCAGTCAGCCCGATACATTGGTATGATTGCGAGGAGGGGTGCTGCCACAAACCTATGCCCCCCATTCCCCCCCCCTCCCCCTTGAAGAAGAACCTTGTGCATGCTTATGTATGTATGTACTTGGTGGTTAATGCAATCTACGTTTAGTGCCAAGTTAGCCGCGTTTCAGACAGGTTCTTGGCATGTATGTACTATTAGTGAGGTTTTACTGTAACGAGCTTTGAGTGTGTACGTGTGTGTGCACGCACTGCTATGAACTTCAAGCTGTAGCTAGCTTGTTGGTTCAGTGTTCTTCCAATACCTTATGCCATTGCTTCTGTACATAATTCTACTTTTGTTTATTTTTTGTGCTTATTTTATGGACTTGCTGCTTTTGTATAAAGGATTGTGTAAACTGAGGAAACATTAAACTACCGTATTTACTCGCATAATGGGTGGACTTTTTTTTTCAGAAAATCCGGCTCGAAGTTAGGGGTGCGCCAATTACGCGGGGTAAAATTTTCGAAAATTTTTTCAACTCGGTTCTCGTGCTTTTAATCTGCACACTTGTCAAGTAAAAGGTGACTTTATCGTTTACCAATTAATTCAGCATAAAACAAACATACCTACGTACCTTTCAATGAACAAGCGAGAGCCGTCAACTACACACACACACGTAAAATTTATTTACACAAAAGTCGTAGCTGTTCCTCCTTTTCCCTATTCGGAGTCAGAGTCGGAGATCACACATTCATCCTCGCCGAGCGGGGATTCGTTTTCGGTGTCCGAATCATTCGCACCCCACAACATGTCATCCTCATTCGCGTCCAGTGCGTTCGAGATACCCGTCTTCTTGAAGCTTTTCCTGACGACTTCGTCGGAGATCGCCTGCCACGCTTCCACGACCCAGCCCAGCCGTGTAGCTTGCGTACTTCCCCATGGTGGAACCAAAGTTCAATACACGACCACAACATACGCACACCGCTTGCAAAATGGCGTTTCTTTCTTTTTCTCTGATGGTGGTGATGGCGATCGAGCCCCCGGCGTTGTACACGTGACCTCCAAAAAGCGCGGCGATTTGGGGGGTATCAGTAATTGATGGAACAGCCGTTCTTTTTTTTTCGCTCATGGACGCTTTTTTTTTTTTCAAGTTTTATTTTGACAAACACGTTGGTTAGGTCGTTGCACTTCGAATTTTTTTTATTTGCTCGTCGATTTGCCTTCTTTTGTTCTTCAGGGTACGGGGACCGTGTTCCAACTGTACCGCTGGGGGGTAGAATCGTTTCTGATCACGGCCAAGTTCGGGGTGCACCTATTATGCGCGGAATTTAAAAAAAAATCGAATTTTCCGCGACCAAACTAGGGGTGCACCTATTATGCGAGTGCGCCGATTATGCGAGTAAATACGGTAAATTAAAGCTAAATTTTCTTCCTCCTTGTGTGTCATGGAAAGCCCACGCGTGCTCCAAACACAGGCAGTTGGTCCAAAAGCAGATTTTGCCTGCTCCTACAGCTGCTCCAAAATGCTGCAAGGCATTCCCACCACTTAAATATACTAGTATTAGCTTTCTTTAATACCGTATCAGCTGATTGGTGCTAGGAGCCAGATCATCATTAGTGTTTACTTACTGTGGACATTGGAATATTGGAATGATTAAATTGAAATGTCAAACTTCGTTTTCGTTGCGGCTGTTCCACACTGTTTCCTTCTATGTGCCTGCTCACAATAGTGTCTTAGTGGCTTTGGCACTGCTGCTAAGCATGATGTCGCAGGGTGACATTCTGACAATTGTGGCTGCATTTTGATAGGGGCACGCATCGCATAAACTCTTGTGCACTGTACGTTGGGTCCACGTTAAATAAACTCAAGTGGACTAAATCAATCCGGAGTCCTCAATGCTGGTGTATTTCGTAGTCGGGGTGTGGTTTTGGCATGTTAAACCACAATTCTTAATATTTTGTTTATCTTATTAGTACTCATGTTTGTGCTTGTTTATTAGTCATTATTGTGAACTCAGTTAGACATAATACAGTCGAATCTCATTAATTCGAACACGCTTAATTCGAACTTCCGGTTAATTCGAACTCACGAAGAGGTCCCGTCAAAGTTATGTGTATTCCAATGGGCGAAAACGCCCGGTAATTCGAATGCGCAAGCACTTGCGATTGTTAATTCAAACATACCGCGCTCCGAAAATGATCTCAGCGCCCAGCCCAATCCCGCGGCGGCACCTGCGACACCTCAACGCTGCGCGCTAAGGAAATGAAAAGGAAATAAAAGGCTGCAGTGGAATGTTTGCTCTCTCTCAAATGCCGATCTGCGACGCGCCCATGTCACGCTTCTCCTTTTTCCGTCCCTGCCACCTAAAGACCCTTCTCCTTCCAACGGCGTGCGCGAAGAGAGAGAGAGGAAAAAAGAAGCTGTCGCTGGGTTGAATGAATGTGTGGTTGAAAGAAAGTGAAAAGGCACTATATTCTGCAGCCCTTGTGGGAGCACGGCTCTGCGCCTTGAGGGGGGGGAGGGTCGCACACGCTGGTGCTGTGCTTTCCCCTTTCTCATCCCTGCCAGGTAACCCTTCTCCTTTCAACGATGCGTGCGAAGAGAGCAAAAAAATCTTAAAAAAGCTGCCGTGGAGTCTTGGTTTTCTCTCAATTGTCGATCTGCTTCTCTCTGCGTGGCTGCGTAGCGGAGAGGCTCCGCTGCGCAGTCATTGTCGTCGAAAGTGTCGGCGCTGGACATTTCCGCGCGCAACTTTCCTTGCCAGGAGAATGCTGAAGCTGAAGTAGAAATGCTTTGCAAGCTGCGTGCGAAATCGATTGACTCGCTGTAAGGCAAACGCGTGCAGACGCGCATCACCGATTACTTCAATTAATAACAGATGTCCCGTGATCTATGAATAAATATAAGTCTTCTGAAACTTCCCCCTCGTGTGTTAGCTCAATGCACATGCGTTACTGCATGGAGAGCCCTCCGTTTATTTAGCTTTCATTAATTCAAACTTCCTTGAATTTGAACAAATTTTCGGGCCCCTTCGAGTTCTACTTATCGAGATTCGACTGTACCAATATTGGATTGCCCTCTTGCACAAGGGTGTTAAAACATTTGATTCACATTTTTCAGGACTCGTCTAATTGCACGAATGAAAAATTTTTGACATGTTTTGCTGCATTTTCACATGTTGACATCATTAGCTAGTGTATCGGCAGTAGTAGTGAGACCTTTGTTCGCTCAGCTTTAGAACACGCATATGTTCTAAAAACATCGTATTTTTGCATCGGAGCATCCTGTGACAAAGTTACTTTTATTTACAGGTGTTATTCGACTCATCAATGGCCCCATACACCTAGACAAAGACAAGTATGAGCTCAATGTGACAGCACGAGATGATGGTGCCTGCTGTCGCAATGGGGCTTTGACCCCTCATACAAGCACAGCCCTTGTGGTTGTATTCATAACAGATGTAAATGACAACAAGCCTGTTTTTGACGAGTGCCAGACGTATACACCAAAGGTAGAAGAGGGTGCACAGAGTGGAACATCAGTCATCAAGGCAAGTCTAAAAGTTCACAAGCACTGCTTTTGTTGTATTAAGGAGAACTAACAACGCCCAAGCCAAGAAAAGTATAGGGGATGTTATGTTATTTGTAGTAGCTGGAGTACAGATGAAAAGAAATTAGTGAACAAAAAACAGTTTGCAGCCAGTAGGTTTGGTACTTGCTGTTGGCAAGTTATTTTTATTTTACTTATTTATTATTTACAAAATACTGCAGGCCCATTTAAGGGCCCCAGCAGGAAGGGCAAGATCATAACATTGCACACAGGTGTAAAACAGCAAGAACAATAAAAAGATACATCATATACAAAAGATACAAAAACATAGGTCATGGTTAAATACGCTCAAGTGCCTCTACAGAGCCGGTTAACGATTGAGGTAGGCAGTTCCAGTCGTTTATGGTTCGAGGAAAGAACGAGTATTTGAAAATGTTTGTTCTGGCGAAGTACGGTGTTAATGAATGAGTTTGCCGATACCGGGTTTGTCTTGTCGTAAGCGGTTTCAGGTACAAATCACGGTTTAGTGACAGCTTGTTGTTGTTTAAAAGAAAAAGAAATTTGAGCCTGTGAGTCTTACCACGTTTTTCAAGTGTGGGTATACTGTTTTCTTTCATAAGGTTTGTGCGGGAATCAGTTCTTCGGTACTTGGAGTAAATAAAACGGACCGCTTTGCGTTGGATTAGTTCGAGAGCCTCAATGTTTCTTTTTGTGTATGGGTTTTTGTCCACTTCAAGTTCTTGTCAATTATATTACACTACAAATAACATCCCCTATACTTTTCTTGGCTTGGTTATTTGTTAGTTCTCATTAATGTTGTTTAACAAAAAAGAACTAGCCCTTGTATTCCCCTTTTTTCGTTGCTTCTGCGATTGTCACTTAAGTGAAGATGCTAATCGAAAAAGTTTTTTTTAAAGCCAACTTTTTGTTTCTGCCTTTTTCAAGTTGAGTTCTAACTTTGGTGACAATTCATCATTTTAACATATAGTGTAGTATTGCAAATTTGACGGGATATCAACGAGATATCATTTTATATGTAAAAATGATATCTCACCAACTAACCCAGCTCTCAATCTTACTGACAATTCATAATCATTGTCAGCCTGTCTTACGTTCGTTGCACGCCCCGCTGCGGTGATGTAGTGGCTAAGGTACTCGGCTGCTGACCCACAGGTCGCGGGATCGGATCCCGGCTGCGCCGGCTGCATTTCTGATGGAGGCGGATATGTTGAAGGCCCGTGTGGTCAGATTTGGGTGCACGTTAAAGAACCCCAGGTGGTCGAAATTTCCGGAGCTTTCCACTACGGCGTCTCATAATCATATGGTGGTTTTGGGACGTTAAACCCCACATATCGTTCGATCAATCAATCAATCAATCAATCAATCAATCAATCAATCAATCAATCAATCAATCAATCAATCAATCAATCAATCAATCAAGAATTTTGGAAGAAATTTTAACTCTATCCACGCATCAGGAGTATGAAAAAATAAGAGGGGCAAACTGAAGAGGTTACCAAAACTTCCATAATTCAAGTAGTGTCTTTTTTCTTTGATTATTCTGAGCTTTATGATGTTTGAAGGCATTAAAAATTCATTTTTGTTGACACCATGCTGATTGAATGATATTGATATTTTCAAGAATGAGTGTGGTGATTCTGGTTTACATTGATACTAATGTTCATGGCATCGCATGCAAGTCATGGTTAACCTTGCGTTAAATACTCAGGCTTGTCACATTGTAGATAAATTAATCATTCTACCTGCCTTTCAATAGAAATGCAGTGGAAGATATTGAAAGATTGTGGGTAACCCATGTGGCAGCAGTCTGTGACAGTGTTGTACAGGCCTGGTCATGTGATTGAAGTTGATGGTTACTAGTGATATGTTGTCTAGTAATTTTTCTCTTCTTTATCAGAATCTGCATGGTTAGTTGAGCTCTGTGATTTTGATTTGTGCCTTGGCCTTGGAACAGCGAGATGAGTATTACAAGGAAGTAGAGTTGCGATATACTTCCAATTTTGCATTCTAACTGCTCGGAAAGCTGTGTAAGCCTTTTGCGCATCCAGCGTTTAAGTAGACTGAAGACACCATGCATGAGCAACACCAATACACAATGGATTGGATGTGCTTGAACACCTCCTGTGAATTATACGTATAAGTGAATGGTAATCTCCTGGTAAGAACACTTAAGAGCACTAAAGTATGTACTGAAATGTTATAGCTGTAGGCCCCCTTCCCCTATTTTAACGTGATAGCGTTAAAGAGCTCGTTTCGCAAAAATTTCAGCTTCGGTGTCGGCGTCATTGGTTGTGAGCGATAAATCATCTGAAAAATAGAGAATGATGCAAATAAAATAAATAAATAAATAAAAAAATCGGACAGAAGAGTGGGGACTGAACCAGGGTTGCTTGCGTGGAAAGCGGATGTTCTACCACACGGCCACGCCTCTGCTTGCGAAAACAGTGAAAAGAGCTTCCTCTGCTTAGAAATGCAGTGAAAGTAGTTTTTATGCTTCACAAACTCACCGTGTCCTGTGTGTATGCTTCACAATACAACATGAAATATTACAATAATAATGCGTGGTCAAGCATCCATTGCCAACTGGCATCAGAATATATACCAAGCCAAGAAAAGTTTAGGGGATGTTATTTGTAGTGTAATATAATTGACAAGAATTTGAAGTGGAAAAAAAACCCATACACAAAAAGAAACATTGAGGCTCTCGAACTAATCCAACGCAAAGCGGTCCGTTTTTATTTACTACAAAAGGCACACGTGCTACTGCACCGATTTATTCCCTTAATGCTACGTAGTGGGTGCATAGCAAATTCGAAAAGGTTTCACGCACTAAGTGTTTGAAGTATGTACTAGGAACAGGATGTCGCTATCGCATTCAACTTATAAAGGCAAAGTGTTGAAGTCCCCTAATTTTTTTTTTTACATTGAATGACGAGTTTTGAGACATGAAAAAAAAAAAAAAAACACTTTTTTTTATCAGGGCAGTTTGATGTGACAGCCATTTCATTGAGTCAGTATCGCACTTCAGGGGTTTTCCCCATTTTGTTTCAGCACGATGTGCATGCCTGAATTCAGACATTTCGCGGTTTGATTTGTAAAATGTCGTAATAGTTATACTTCAGTCATCAATGTTGACATGATTTAGAGTGGTTGACATAATAATATTGCAATGTGCAATGTTTGAGGAGGTCCTCCTATTTATCGTATGATAAAGTAGCAGCTTGAATTTGCGGTCTAATATTTTCTACTTGGGTTCTTTTAGGTGAAAGCAAAAGATCTTGACAAGGGCCACAATGGTCAAGTACGCTATTCCATTGTTCAGCAGCCTAATCAAAAAGGCACGAAGTTCAGTGTCGATGAGCTAACTGGAGAAATCAGGACAAACAAGGTAAGAGTGCTCATATGTATGTTCAGGCATATGTCTTTACCAGATCTATTTTTTTGGCTCACAAGCTGATGTTAGATTCTTCATTTTATGATTCATGGGAGGTTGGCATTGGTGAATCGTTGCCTTAATCGTTACCTGGAAACAGAGGGGTGGGCGTGGGGGGTAACATGTCTCACATACATACGAAAGCATGATGATAGGGTAATGTAGCATTTCACATTTCTGTATAAAGCAGATTTATACTATACTGAATTGTGAGATAAAACACAAGGGCTGCATCAGTGCACATAAATGTAATTACAGAAATGAAATTAAGATTGTATACATTACAAGGGATGAAATTGAAAAGCTTTTCCATGATAAATCTTGAAAGAGTGGAAGTGGAAGATGTAGTAGCAGTTTATGGGATAAAATATTATGCATTTTTAGTACTTTGTTGTCTCACAATTGGAAGAATGCCTATAATATGTTGAATATTAGACGATACGTTTAAACCATTGGCTTTTGTGCTCTCCATGGCCGTTCCTGCCTGGCATTCCGCCGGAAGACTTTCTCGCCCCCCCGCAGCATGGGTTGGTGCTTCTAAACCGCAATAAAATCCGCAAGAGATGCCATAGAATAACAAACATTGTTGTATTCACTTAACAATGTTTGACTGCATCAGGTGCTTTAGTACGATTTTCATGTGTGAAAAAGTTTAAAGCACACAGGCATGTGAAGAGCAACTTCACATTTTTCACACTCACATTGGCTTTCGGACTTTTTGCCCTGTGCCCTGCAAACTAAGTAAAGTCTTGATGGATTCTGCTTGACTTTGTTTGCCAGGATGTGGCGAGAAAAATGAGCTCATTCGGTGGCTTGTAGGCTCAATGGGCAGGCCGTGACAGGCGGGTTTCTGCAAGCAATGATTTCCCAAATCTCTTCTCCCAGAAGTGCGTTGAACATTTCATGAGCACTCGGCTTTGCACCTACTTGAAGCTCTATGATCACCTGATACCAAGTTGACCGCTGAAAGGGTGGTTGACAATTTTTTCAACACTGTCATCTTCCCATCGCCAGTTTTGAATCCTGTGCTTCTTTGGAAATGTCTGCAAATGATTCACGGAGGCATCCCCTGAACACACGTTCTCTTATTCATCACTACCCCTTTCATCAATTTCTGGTCGGAAAACCGACTTTCCATGTTTTTTGATGATGCGGAATTTCGGCCGGTACAAATATTGTTGCACCCCTTGAGATTCATATCGCGGAGGTTCTATTGGAAACCGGACTTGCATTGTTTATCATCAGCTACTACAAAACGACTACACCAATGTTCACGCTTGCAGGGCAGCTCCCCCATCCTCTTTTTCCCTTCTCTGTGAGGTAAATCAGTGTGCCTACCCGACCCCCTCCCCCTTTTGTTCTGTAAGTTTCTCGTATTCAGGTTTCTTGAACTTGGCTATTATGCAAAGGCGATGGTATCACCATGCTTTGTGCCATCAAAGAAAGGGGAGAAGTTTGTTTTTTGCACCATGTGTGCCTTTGATGTGAACATTTCACATGGTGGCAAGTCTGACATCAAGGTCCACATCGCTACAAAAAAGCACTATGGATACGTGCGAGACGCTGACAACCAGCTAAGCTTGGAAATTTTTTGCCTGGTCACAGTGATTGAATTGTTGCTCTGATTATTCGCTGTAAAAGCATGATCAAGCTGGTCAATAAAGGTAAAAGTTAAATCGCTCAAAACACAGCTCCCCCTACATATTGCAAAGGTTTCACTGATTTCTGTGTTGCCAGATTTGTAAGTGTGCCGTTTGCACTTCATGGGGAACAGATATGACACACACAAGTGGCAGTCGAGCACAAAATTAACTCTCGACAAAATGTGCCCTGCTGTCATTTTGTGATGGCATAGCATCTAATCTTTATAATAAGAGGCTGTTACCAACGTGTCACACATGGTTTCAGTTCCCTATTTGATTCAGTTTGTCAGAGAATTTGCAGACTCATTTTGTCAGTAAATAGAAGAGATGCATTAAGTTTGAGTAAATACTTGTTTCACAGTTGATAATATCTGTCAGCAGTGAGGGAACTGAGAAGTATGAAAGTACAGACCAGCTTGTTCGTACTACCTATATAGATTGCAATAGGCAACAAGATTGCAAGTAGAGGCACCAGTCATCATGAAAGTGTAAAAATTGGAACATATGAACATATCAAACTCAAAATATTTAATTATATCTGAATTACACTTATATTGTCTGAGATATCTGAATGCTTGATAATTTCTTAATGTATTCACAATTTATTTGAATTTCATTGTGATGGGTCTGCTTGAGGGGTGGGTGGATGGAAGGGGGTGGTGTTGAAATATGTGTACGTTATGTGGCTGCATTTAAGGCACTGTTGATGCTGGTAGTTCAGAGCATACTTTTCTGTGCTGTGTTTGAGCACTTTATCAATACACTCTAGTGGTGTAAATAATGTAAAAGGTTAGATTGTGGATGGATTAATTGATTATGCTCTATTTCTGAGTGGAAGGATGTGTGCTTGACGTATGATTTTTATTTGCTCTATGGTTGATAATGATTGTAGTTGTAGCTGTTATGGATGAGTACTCTGATTGTTGCATAGTGTATCCAGCCAGCTTAATGCCAGAGGTTAATGTCAAACTTAGCTGCATAAACAGCATATTAGAAGCCATTCATGTGTGTTTTACTCTAAACTTTCCTAATATTCACACATTTCTCTGCACTCATGGGAAGCTTCAGGGATGAGAAGTGTTGAATCCATATCTATCTACATACAAAGGGGAAACAGTTTCATCCTAAAGTGCTTTATCTGTACTGTGACATATTCTTTACCGCAGGTTTTCGACCGGGAAGGTGATGATGGCCGCTTTGTTAGTGTCACAGTAAAGGCAACGGATCGTGGTAGCCCGCCCTTGGAAGGAGTTTGTTCATTCAAAGTGGAAATAACGGATATCAACGACAACCCGCCTCTATTTGACAGACAAGAGTATAGAGAAAATGTGAAGCAGGATACGCAGGTTGGTTACTTTTTAAAATTCACTCCTATGCAGTATATTTTTTACGGTGCCCCATGTTTGTCTGAAATGTTCTTGTTTAATTTTTTAGGTTGGGATTCACATCCTGAGAGTTTCTGCTTCTGATGAAGATGCAGATAATAATGGTGCCATTGTCTACAATCTGACAGCACCTTATGACCCTGATCACCTGGCCTATTTTTCCATCAACCCAGACTCTGGCTGGATAAGCCTGCAAAAGGCCCTTGATGTTAGTATTTTTTCACTTGTATTTTTTTCCTTTAATTGCAGTTTTTTTTTCATTCCAGCAAATTATGAATTCGTAAGGATTGTCAGAAATGACCATCAAGTTAGTGTGCTTATTTAATGATGTATGAAACAAGCTTTCTCCTAGTGTTTTACCAATTTAAGGCTCTCTGTGTGACTAATCACTGAATTTGCGGCCTGCAGTTTTACTCCTAAGCGACTTGTGCCACATTGCCTTTTTGTGCATTGTTGAGTTCACGTCTGAGCTGGGAAGCTGTAAATGTTTGGAGCATGCATTTGAACGTGTAAAGAAATGAGAAAGTCAAATATGGAGGTGCACTTGGGCGAGGCACCCTGTGCTCACATTTATTGTTCAGTGTATTTCATGCTGAAGGGTTAGGTAATATGTCATTCATTCATTGAACAACCAGAGCTAGTCTTGTATGTCCTTGTCTTACCTTATTGCTCCATTATGAACCTGCAACCTTGCCAGCTTATTTAGGGTGTTGAACCAATGTCATCTTTTAAAAAGAGCCATACTCTTACAAGCTGTTGCTTTTTGGCATCCCATGCCACTTTTCTGCTCTGTCGAGGGGTTCAGCCTGTAGTTCTTTCAGTATCGCTGTTGTGCCTTTGTTGTACCTCAGCAAGCTTGAAGTGTGTGTAACATGAAATTGTGAAAATTTGCTAACAGTGTTAGGGCATTCTCTTCCTTCTGATTGAATTTCAAAGGAAAGTATCTATTGCCAGTTGTCAGGCCAGTCACGCAAGAAAATTAATTAGAATATGGGAAATACCTACTATTTATAGAGTTGCTTAATGTTTCTTTGCTGCATTGTATTTCAACATATGAAGTCTGAGATTTTAGTTTTGTTCTTAGAATACATATGAAACTGATTACATTGCAATAATATTTGGCCAATTTTTTAAAGCTGCTGTCAGTTGCAGCATGAAAAATTTTTAACTTCTGCTATTGCACTTTCCTTGCACCTGATGTCAGTCCTTTTTTGCAGCGTGATCAATATCAGCTACGAGCCATTGCACTGGATAAAGGTGTTCCTCAACACCAAGCAACGGTAGAAGTCATCATTGATGTGGTTGACAGGGCTAACAATCCTCCCATATGGGACCAGCCTGTGTATGGTCCCATATTTATCAAGGAGAACCTCGAAGTCGGCAGCCGCGTCATTTCTATCAAAGCTAGGTGAGTTGTGTAGAATACTGACTGCACTATCCTTGCTGCGGCAGCTGCATTTCCAATACAGGCGGAAAATGTTGTAGGCTCTTGTGCTCAGATTTGGGTGCACGTTAAAGAGCCCCAGGTGGTCGAAATTTCTGGAGCCCTTCACTATGGTGTCTCTCATAATCATATGGTGGTTTTGGGACGTTAAACCCCACAAATCAATCAATACTGACTGTGCTGAAATTGGAGGACTTGATCACTGTAGGCACTTTTAGCTTCAATTTTAAACTGAAGGTAATCTTGGAAGTAGTTTCCTACCACAATCTTAATAGTACTACTTTTTAAAATTTTTGCATGTCTGAACATGGCATGACTTATTGTTTCTTCTTTTTTTGAAGAAATAACTGGGAAGAATTTACTCTCTTAATCAAAATTACCACTGTAGTTATTAATGCTTGTTAAAGGTGATCACCTGTAGGTTGCTTTCTATTATGATGCAGTGCTTATGTTGTAACTACTCTGTATGAATGCTTTTTTTTTTTTTCAGCAGTATGTCAGGGGACAGTGTCTGCCTCTTCTTATATAGTTTGCCTTAAGTAATTGGCTACACTAAGCAGTTTTCACAGCAATGCGGTTCATTTCTTTCAGATCTGGAATTCCAGAGAATCCTGATGTGTTCTACACGCTGATGAAAGGAAGTACTGAGCAGACCAACAAGAAGGACACTTTCTATTTGAACCAGAAGGTGGAGAATGGCCACACAGTAGCAGAGCTGGTGGTCAATTATCCTCTTGATTATGAACGCATCCAGCAGTACAATCTCACCGTTCGGGTTGAGGTAGGCTCATTTCTTTTTTGTTTGGCTTCACTGATATTCAGCAGCAATTTTTTTCGACGCAATTTCTCCTGCAAAAGCCTGCAAGTTTGGCAAAAGTTTACATAAGTAGAAAAATTTCCACCTAGTCATTTGTAGCATTTTATAAAGAGGTGGACGCCAATTTTGTTTTTTCAAATAATTCGTGAAACGGCACTAAAGCAATGTAAGGTCGTGTTGGTGAAGCTAAAGTTACTCAAAAGTTTACCTTGAAATATCGCGAATTCTTTAGAGATAAGCTCTGTTTTCTCCTAAATTACAAAAGTGCAAAAGAGAGTCTTAATGTCTTCCTATAGATGGTGCCTGTTCTTGTGCGATGTTAAAACTATTAGAGAGTCTCTTCTTTTTATCTCTGTTTGACATATGACCAAGGTTTTAGTTACTCGAGCTTTAATTGCATAATTGTTTTTTATTCTTGGTCATCGAAGGTGGAGCTTATTTTAAAAAAAATTTGTCTATGAGCTGTGGGGTTCTTCCTTCTCATGAACATCACTTGTAAATTCACGCTGTACTTGTTTTGTAGCCTAATAATTTGTACACCAAAGTGTTGCTCTAGCATTTCCGTACTCGTGACAACTATCTTTTCTGCAGAACAATGGCATCCAACAGTTGGCATCTGAAGCAACTGTCTACATAGTCCTTGAGGACGTCAACGATGAGATCCCCCTCTTTATAGAGCGAGAGCAAGAGACTGTGCTCGAAGGTTTGCCTGCGGGGACCAAGGTGACTACGGTCCAGGCACAAGACAAGGACGGCACCTACCCCAACAATAAGGTAAGGACTTTGGTAGAGCCATAATTAATTGTACACAGTCCAGGGTTCATAACTTCTGCTAATATTATAACCTCATAACAAAAGGTGATAAAATCTGTCATTTACATTGTTATATTGAAGTGATTTCTCTATCAGTCAGGTGATAGAAAAATGCTCAGAATACACCCAACCACTATACATAGCCTTCATTGATTATGAAAAGGCATTAGATTCAGTAAAGATATCAGCAGTCATGCAGACACTGCGGAATCGAGGTGTCAAGAAAGCATATACAGTTGAGCCCACATATAATGGCCCCACTTAAAATGAACTTTCCCTTAAAACGAACAATATCTGCGTGACCGTGAAAATATGCATTGGTTCAATGGCACGAAATCGCTCTTACAACGAACGTCTCCAAGCGCCGCTGATCGGGGATACCAACGTTGATGATAATATAGTATATCTCCTCCATAAAGGGCCTAAATATCGCCTAGAGCCAAAAGTTGCGGCACAGGACCTTCTTGCGTGGAATCGGCAATTGGCAAGGAAGGCGCTGCAAGAACAACGTGAACGCTGCCTGCCGGAAGGAGTTGACAGTTGGCGCTGTTCTGTCTTCTCTCCTGCTCTTCCTGCTTCACGTTATGTTTTTTGCGCCTCAGTCTTCTGCACAAAGTATGCACCAACTAGCCCAAAAACAAGTCCTTTTGGAATACCTTTCTCGTACAGTGGGCTCCGGTTCCCTTTGGATCGGACATACTATGTCTTCAAGTCTCCCTGATGCGTACACGGTTCAAATCCCGGCTGCGGCGGCCGCATTTCCGATGGAGGCGGAGATGTCGTAGGTCCGTGTGCTCAGATTTGGGTGCACGTTAAAGAACCCCAGGTGGTCAAAATTTCCGGAGCCCTCCACTACGGCGTCTCTCATAATCATATGGTGGTTTTGGGACGTTAAACCCCACAAATCAATCAATGATGCGTACACGGTGTGTCAGAACATCGTGGCGGCGACATGCCAAGCGCGTTATCTAGGATTTTGCATTAGAAAAGGAATCCCGCCCCGTGAAGTCACTTCACTCTTCGGCGCCGTTATTCCTTCGTGGGGCCATATTAGAAGAATGGTCAAGATTTGGCGTTCTGAGCTGGGCCGGCAAGTGAGGTTGCTTAACGAAATTCTCAGGTGCCTGTGCCACACCAATTTTCCTACATGGGTAGCTACCAGGAAGCTAAAGGACTACCGCAAGGTGGTGAGTACTGCCATTGAAAGCACGTGGAGCTGTATGCTATCCTGTCTGCTGAGGAGTATGACAAAGACTTCTACCAAAAAAGACCGCACCGAGAGGCTAAGAATTATCGGGGATACCAACGTTGATGATAATGTAGTATATCTCCTCCATAAGGGACCTAAATATAGCCTAGAGCCAAAAGTTGCGGCACAGAACCTTCTTGCGTGGAATCGGCAATTAGCAAGGAAGGCACCGCAAGAACAACGTGAACGCTGCCTGCTGGAAGGAGTTGACAGTTGGCGCTGTTCTGTCTTCTCTCCTGCTCTTCCTGCTTCACGTTATGTTTTTTGCGCCTCAGTCTTCTGCACCAAATTGTCCGAGTATCTCTGCCCAGCTCTGGACCTCCCGTAGAATAATAACACAGGTTTCGTGGGATCATGAAAAGACTTGAGGGACGCTAGAGCTTCACCTTTAAAAGTAAAACGCGATAGTCTTATTGGACCCCTCTTCTGTCGCCTTCAATCATGTCGCAAAGAAGGAAATGTTTCTGTGCATAACATTGGCTGTTTTAAACTGTCCGAGAATGCATGCTGTGCAAGTACAGTAATAAGGGGCCCACTATGCCATAATTCTTCTTTGCAAATGGCCGATGTACCCAGAGCCCGTCCATAAGGCAGCACATGCGCCTATGTAGCGGCACATGCTGTCATTGCTGATGATGATGATCAGTTATGCGTGTATACAAAACTAATCATCATTATCAGCAGCCTATAAACTAATAACTTGAGCAATTCTCATGTTTTGGCACCTGGTGTAACTAAACTCTTGTGACTCGCAATATTGCTTGTGTTAAGAACACTCCCGACACTAAATGACATTCATATAGTGTTTCTCTCAACCAATTTATAGCACAAGCATTACTTCGTGGTAAAGCACCTGCTCCCTGTACAGAAGTCCCGAGCTTGATCCGCACTATAACCGAACATTTTTTTTTCTCACAATCAACTACACTGACATTGCAACTGGAGCTTCTGTGAAACAAGCAGTATTGCCTTAAAGTACTGCGATTAGCTAAAACTTGTAATACTGAAAAGCACGGAAAAGTAGTATGCCTAGTGTGAAACTAACGAAAACTGGCATACAGTGTTATTTATTGTTTCTTGGGGTGGCAGTGAGATGGCCCCAGTTACCTGTCTCCAAAAAGAAAAAGAAAAGGGACTAGGTACAGTAGGCTCGTGATAATTCAAACTCTGATAATTCGAACTTTCAGTTAATTAAAACAGTTCAGTTTTCTGGTTGGCACTCTATTCTATAAATGTATTTAAAATAAGCCTCTCAATTCAAACTCCATCATTTGGTTAATTCATATTTTTTGCAAATTCATACCAGGAAATATTAGCTGCTCTCCCACTACTATTTAAAAATGTGTGTGCTTATATAATCCTAACGGTCTAAAAATGAAAAATAAGCACCCGAGGCCTTTTTTCTTGACCTTTGGCTCAATTTGCCACTATATTTCACCATTACACTCGCTCACCCCTTTTTTGCTGTGAATCTAAACAATTTTTCATTCAGAAGGATTTGTGCTGGGGCTGGGAAGGAAAAAAGGCAACAAGCTTTCCTGGTAGACTAAAACATGTTAGTCAATATAGCATATACACAAGGCATATACATCACACGCTACGCAAAATTATAATAAAAGAATGCAACACTCACGACATATAATACAAAACATATAAGAAAAGTAAATTCAATGATAAATCAACATAAACAAAATAAAAAAAAAGTGTTCCATAGTTGAACAGCACAGTGTTTTAATCTCTCTGCCGGTCACTTCGCAAAGTTTGTCGGAATACAAAAGAGGAAGTTTCTTTCACGAGTGAGTTCGCCTTGTTGCTGGCCTATGGGTAGGTTGTTCGCAGGTTGTGTTCACAGTCGCTGCTGAACTCGTTTATGGGCTCTCTTCGGTCACAGCGGAGAACTTCTTTGTATAACCCTTACCAAAGAATCTTGCTTTCTCGTGCCATTTCTCCTGATTGTGGTCCTAGGTCGCTTTTCGTCAGGCCCAACTCCACCCCTCTCAACCAATCGTCACGATGGGTGCGACATCTTTCCTTGTCGGCTGGTGTCAACGGGACGACCGCCCTTATAGCCCACCACAGTGCAAAAGCCTTTTTTGCAGCGAAGTGTATCAAACAAAGTGCACAAGCTTAAAATTGAAAGAGGGAAATGGGACAGAAGTACGAAGATACATGTGGGTAACCAGCAGCTTCGACGCTGAAAGCACACTGGTTCTAATGGCGAACAAGCGGTGTCTTGAGCACCAAGCAGGAGAGCCTCTGGCCGCCTTCATCACCCTAGTCTCCTCTGATGCCGACAACTAGATGTCAAGGTCGGGCCTCAACATATGCTACCCGGTGTCTTTCGCACAATTCCCCATTGTTGCCACTTCTTTATCTTTGAGTGCCGTAGGCGGTTTTTTACAGAGGGCGCAATAATGAGTGCTACGAGCTAGGAAGGCAGCTGACACATAATGCCTGGCTCGGCCCTGGTACAGGGGCTACAGCGGAGCATCATGAATGGAATGAAGGCATCCAGCTGCAGCTATACCATGCAACTGAAGGGTGCAAGGCGCCTCGCTGCCACAGTGACTGCAGAACCTAAATGCAGCCACCTGACCCTGGTGTTTGTGGGGTGGGCCCCGCGAGGGCTTTTCTGTTCATCACTTGTACGGAAGGCTCTGCAAGAAGTGTCGAAAGGAGCTTCAAACAACCCCGCTTCGAAATGAGTGTTCAGCATTAGTGAGGTACATGTTTAGGAAATAAGTGTAAACATTGCACGACGGCTCTGGTCTGATCAGCGTTCCTTGGGACATGACAGCAACATCATAGACCACTCTGAAGAATTTCCTGTAGATTTTAGAAGCCAGTGATTGTACAGGTACTTGTAATTATATGATGCATGCACATGATAAAAATTAAAAGGACTATGAACATAACAAGTTTGAAAAGAGACGTTTCAGCTCCCCTGATGGGAGCTTTATTCAGGGAGTCTTTTGTAAGGGGAGCCGAAACATCATTTTTTTAATACTTTTTTTTTCATGAGCGTGTCCTTTTTCTAATTCTATTATGTTACTTCCTGACCTGACAGGCTTCTGTCAAAAAGTCCGCTGCATGCTCATCCAGTAATTAAAGGGCCAGTAAACATGCAAAGACTCATTTTTCGCCTCCCGAAGAAGCTTGCTCATATCATCAGAAGGCCGGGGCAACCACATTTTCTGAATATCATAGCTTTGTGCCCATTACTTCAGCGCCATATAAAAAAAAATTTTCGCACTTTTCTTCAGTACATATCTAGTCCTCTTGGCCGCTAAGTGATTTACTGTTGCCCGTGAGCAACATTACGCAGCACAAAGCCCCTCAATTGTTCTCTCACTGCTAAACTGTGCCTAGGCCTATCTCTCACAATGCTTTCCGTGCTTGCTCTAATGGCTTTCGTGAAAGATGCCAGGTGGCTATAGGTAGCCAAGTGGGCTTTCTTGACTAGGCATTCATACGTTTGCAAGTTGGAAGACCGATTCTTTCAACTTGCAACCGAAGACGGATGCAAGTTGAAAGCCATGTCCCAAAACTTTCCAAATGAAGGTTTTACAAGCCCTCTGAATGCTTTCTGGTCAGCACTATCGGAGTCATATTACATTGTTGAGGCTACTCCTAATGGTAAATGCTTGGCTGTGTTTTGTTCCAGGTTTACTATGATATAGAATCTCGAGACCATGGTGACAAGTACTTTTCTATCGACAAGGATTCTGGAGACATCTTTACAAGAGTAGAGTTTGACAGGGAGGAAAAGATGGCCTATGCAATTTTGGTTCGGGCTGAAGATGGTGCTCCATCGGCGAGGCCTCACATGACAGACAATCGGCCTAACTCAGGTATGTATGCATGGACTCTTGCTTGTGTTTTCTGGTGTCTTTTTTTTATTCCTACTCCGGATCGCGTACACTCCTGCTATCAGTGAAGTGACCTGATATTTCTAGCTATAATATACATCCCTCCACCAATTGTTAATCTCCGATTGTTTAGACCTTACTTCAGCCTTTGCCATGCCAATGCCACCTACTCCATGTAATGTAATTAAAGGAAATGCGGTAGGCTCTCGGTAATTCATATTTTATTCAGTATTTTCAGCAGTTCGAATTATTAAAGTACCACATCGATATGAGTCTGGGCAAGATAACCTGTGTTCTCATGAAACATTGTGGGGTCTCAAATTGGCGAGCGAACGCCACACCACGTTCTTGGAGTGAACAGACACAACAGACGCGGTCCGTACAAACCAAACAACAACATACATTTATTTAACTACTTTTGAACGACATCATCCGCCGAATTATTGTACATCAACAGTCATCATAGGCTAAACAACCTTACACAATACTCCAAAACATGACAAACACAATAACACACCAAAGGCGGCGCCACCAACGCTTTACTTACTACGAGGGTCCCCGGTGCGTACAAGGGCCCCCGACGCGCAGCCCGCGGTGCCACGCACTGGGGACCCACGCTAGGAACAACCGTTTGCGGCAACCGCCACGCGCAGAAGAGACTTGCTCAACTCTCGCCCGCCACTAAGGCTTGCCTTCCGCCAGGGGTCACCGCTGGCGCTACACCATGATGCCGAACTCGTCTATGGGCTCTCTTCGGTCACAGCGAAGAGTGGTGACCTATGCGAACACGCCACCTAACGCCCGGGGGTTGTAACCCGAAATGCGGCTTTTGGGCTAGACACGTTCGCTACGCAGCGCAAAAAACTTCACAAGGGGTGTCGGCACTCTCACATCTTCTCAACCTTAATTCAAACCATATACCGAAAAACAAAAATCAGCTACACAAGCTCTAACAAAAAAAAAAATCACATGTCCATACATAATGTTCGTGCACCACTATACCGCCGCGGGTCGACACTGATGCACGGTGCCGCTCGACTTTACCTCAGTACCGGTCCCGCAACAGCAACGTTGCCGTCGGCGTGACGAACCGTCACTAGTGCCGACACGTCTTTCGGTTGGGACCAGCACTCACCAGGGCGCCAGACTGTGGACAGTTGCGCAGGTCTCGGGCATCTCCATCGCCTGACCTCATGACCGCATTCCTGGCCAGCGGCGCTGACGATGTGCAGAAGACAGCCAGCCGTGGATTACATTACTCCCGCTGCGTATCGTATTTACTCGATTCTACCGCGCCCCTGATTGTAACGCGCACACGGTTTTTACGACAAAAGAAAAAAAAGTAAGACATCGATTATAACGCGCACCCATTTTTCTCGTTGGCCCGCACGATCACACCACTCTGGAAAACGACTCCTTTCGGGAGCCTCTTCCATTTAAATATCGCGCACGGGGGAAGCTTGTGCCCATCTGACGTGCTACAGGGCATTGCCATCACTCTAGTTTTTTCGTGGCCCGATGTCAGCACGTGAACTTGCTTTGCCCCCTTCTTCTCGATGGCTGTGGTGCCAGGCATGTCGAAGTAAAGAGGCGTCTGATCGGCATTTCTGATTTGCCCAAGCAGGTAGTCGTTGTACCGCATGTTTAGGACGAAACTATGAAAACTGTGAAGCTTTTCTTCGTTCTCTTCCGGCAACTTTTGGTGTATGCCCGTTCACCTTCGGAAGGAAAAGCCTTTTCTCTTCATAAATTTAGTTAGCCAGCACCTGCTCGCTTTGAACTGGCTTCGCGTTAGCCCTTTTTCTAAGGCTAACTGCATAGCCCGCACTTGGAGCAGTTCTGTCATTACGGGCTGCTGTGCCGCTCGCTGCTCAAGCACATACTCGGCGAGCAGCTCTTCAATTTGCAGAAACCGACCCTGCTGTGGTCCACTGAAACCTTTAAGTGAAGCTTTGCTGTCGACAATCTTCTGCTTTTGTTTCCGCCAGTCCCGCACGCACGTTTCGGGAACTCTGAACAACCTCGATGCGGCCCGATTTCCGTCTGTTTCTGCACACGCGATGACTTTTCTTTCAAAGCGGCATCGTGGTGCATTCGTCGAGTTTTTGGAGTTGGCCCTTCCATGCCGTCTATGTTAATGCACTACAAGATGTCGAACTCCTCAGCACACGTACGAAGTGCCGCACATGGGAAACACATTGGCAGAAATGGTTGACGCACGTAGGGGGGCCATTTTGGAAATCCTGATGGCAATAGAATGACCGAATTCATTTCTTTTCGTACTCGATTCTAATGCACATGCGATTTATGCACTCAGTTGACTGGAAAAAAGAGCGCGTTAGATTAGAGTAATTACGGTACATTCCAAAACACTCGAAAGAAACAATGGAGCAGGGCCTAGGGAAGGGAGATTCGGGCGTTTCGCCCACGTGGTACGATGGTCAGTACTGCTTGCTAATACATCGGCGGCGGCCAAGGCGCCCAGCTCAAAAATAAAACAAAAATCACTTTTCATAACTCGTGCATCGCAAGATAAAAAAAGTGAGGGAAGCAGAGTGCAGCACCTTGACGCCACGATCAACCTAGTTGTGCGACGTGCGACAGGCGGCTGCACAGAGCTTTAGTGAGTCGCTTGACAACAACTGGCATCCACCCAGCCTAGGCGCATAAGTGGCAGCCACAAGGAGACATCTACCCTGTAAGGTGGCCCTATCGCTCGCCGCACACAGCAGCTTACCCAGCGATCGGTGTCCACTGTCCCGAACGGTGTTACGACGCCCCGGCGTTGAGCCGCAATACCAGACAGCAAAGACGTGCGGCTCCCTGAGCCCAAAAGAGATAGATAGAAGAAGCTATTTGCAGAAAATCTGATCACCCACAAGGCTTCTGTACTCACTCGCTTTGGGCCTGGCCTACAAACCACGTCTTCTAAGCCTTGCTCACCCTAGGATGCAGACCGCATGGCTCTCGTTCCAACTCAATGTTTTTGAAAACTAACAACAACAAAAAAACACACTTGCGAGCCAAAAAAAAAACTCGACGTGCCAACAAGTTCAAATCAATCTCCAATCTCCTCGCTCTCAACAAAGCACACTGCCGACGCTAGCAAAGAAGTCCCCCCAGGCCTACTCTACCCCGGCTCTAACAAAAGCTTGTACCGAACGGCAAGAACTGTCGTCCGATATTCCAAGAGCCCCACGTTGGGCGTCAGTGTGGGGTCTCGAATTGGCGAGTGAGTGCCATGCCACGCTCTTGGAGTGAACGGACTCAGCAGACGCGGTCAGTACAAACCATACAACAACATACATTTATTTAACTACTTTTGAATGACGATATCTTCCACCGAATTATTGTACATCAACAGTGATCATACGCTAAACAACCTTAAACAATACTCCAAAACATTACAAACACAATAACACGACAAACAAACAATAACATGACAAACACAGTAACACACGCAAGGCGGCGTCGCCAACGCTCGACTTGCCACGAGGGGCGTCCGACGCACAGCTCGCGGTGCCATGCACCAGGGACCCACGCTAGAGACAACCGTTCCCAGCAACCGCCACGCGCAGAAGAGATTCGCTCAACTCTCGCCCGCCACCAAGGCTCGCCTTCCGCCAGGGGTCACCGCTGGCGCTACACCATGATGATGATAGTGGTGACCAACGCGAACACGCCACCTACCGCCCGGTGGTTGTAACTCGAAATATGGCTTGTGGGCGAGACGGGTGCGCTAGGCAGCGCGAACAACTTTACAGGGGGTGTCAGCCACTCTCACAACATTCACATATACTTATGTGCCATCCTGGGACCTCAATATTTGGAAGACACGTAAAGCAAGAGTGGGATAGGGGGGGAGTTGAGAACAGAAAGCTGGCATGCATATTCATTTCTTTCGCAAGGCTGCAGCAACCTCATGGACAGCTCTGAATTATTTCCAGTAAACCTTCTATAGGCATTAGATCATACTGGTATTGTTTACTATAGAATGCATGCACACGTGTGCGTATTGGGGTAATATGGCCTGTGTCCTGTGGCAGCTGGATACCCCTTCCCAATCTGAGTATGCTTGTCCGCATCACGGTGGTGCACTGCAGTGAAAGTGACTCGAGAAGCTTCTTGCATTTGATAGATCAAGGCCAGTGCATCTCATTTTTAGAGTGCGGAAAACTTAAGAGGCCAGGCTTGACCTCCATTCGTGCAGCTCATGTGGCGTGACAGCACTCGCAGTAAAGTGCTCAATACAGGCCATAACAAAACTAGCGAAGCTCACAACTAGGTTAATGGGAACAAACCAGGTCTAAAATATAACGAGAAATAACCATATAGTAACTTCAATAATTGAGTTTAGATCGCTAAAAACATTATGGGAACATGCACATGACTCCTGTAATGCACAAGATTTGGTGCCATCGCCTCGACGAAAGCACGATGTTCTTCCCACATGCACTTTGCCTGAACTACAGAACTTGCTGCCCACGGCACGTACCTGAACTACGGAACTTGCTGCCCATGGCACGTACGCATTGCGGGAATCGAGGCTAGCCCGCTGCCTTTGCGTGGGCTTCGCCGCCTTTTCTGCTGTTTTCATGTCCCGACATGACTCCCCTCCTTCGCTGTCTGCCGCACTGGGGGAGCGAAGTGTGATGTTAAACCCCTCTCACCCGGTAGCGGTTGTCAACTGTGGCACCGTGCGTGGAGTCTCCCGGGAAGTTTTACGCGCGCGGGTCGTGAGCGAGTCAGATCTCTCCGGGACGACTGAGGGTGAGCACGCATCTCTTTTCCGTCCGTCGACTCCTATTGTTTCGGGCTTGGCGGACTTCGCCAACGGCGCTTCGCACCCGCGGCGAACGATCACTTTTGTTGCCCCTTGCAAATGTTAGGCCGAAGACCGGTGCGGTGTCCTAGTGCGTGGTCAAACTGCGCCGACCCGTATCTCTCCGAAGCCAACGTGAGCACCTTGGCCCTCGCTTGAG